ATATATATATATACGGGCTCTGTATTGGACAAACACTAAAACTTTCTGAAACAAAACTGAGAACTCCCCAGTAGCTTTGGTTTTGTGCGCAAAACAAATTAGCTACTAAAAAGACCCCTAATTAATGACACGTTATAATATTCTAATTAAAATAAAAGTGTAAACCATTTATAGTTCTTGAGCTCAGTAGACGTATGGAGCTTTAATAATGAGAAAAAGACATTAAAAAACTTACTAATAATTTAAAGACTTACTGTGTCCCTCCAGTGTGACTTAGATGTCACTAAGATTAACATGAGTAGGTCATGTGGCTGTGTTTATAGGGGAGTAGGTAATAAAGTCAGAGGGTGGCAGCTGGCTTTAGTGTCTCGCTCTAATTTATTTACAAGCTTACACACAGAGTTAAACACGTCCACCCAGTCTTCATCACCTAACTACAGCTGCTTGTTATGGGCACTAATGCCTGCTGCCTCCATAGGAATGTTGCCCTTACCCTCCAAACGCCAGTGTAAACACACACACTGTAGGTTACATAAGGCGAGGCACAATCTATTATTACATGGACTACACAATCACATGATTTTCTTTCAAGTTAGTGAAAATAAGGTAATAATGCTTTACTGTGTTGTGCTCCATCCTTCATATCTTCACAACAAGCAACACATGTTCAGCTCACACCTCTGCATGATGTTTTAGCTCTGTTTTCATGACAAAACATAACAGATCTGTTAAAGGTTTGCTGTGATTTCCTTTCTGATGTTTAGCTGCTATACCTGTTGTGAACCTCTAACCCAAGGGTCTGCAAATTTAACAATCAAAAAAGCCCCTTTTGCCACTTTGCTCACCAAATAAAATGTGTCCAACTAGCGGTCCGTGGGCCACTTTGAGTTTGTTCAAATGGAGCTTTTCCGGCCAGTGGGGGTAACGTTATAAAACTAAAATTATATAAAGATTTGTAACATTTATTGACACATTTGTTTTTACATTTTAGGACAAAAAGACTATGTTCATGTAAAGAAGGAAACACTTTTAATTTTGATTTTAAAAAGTAAATAAACCTTGAGGTTTGCAGTCCTCTGTTTGTAGAAAAATATTATTAAGTATCCCACTTTGAAGTAATAAAGCAAATGGTTAAAGTGAGTATACAACAGGACAGTTTGTTGGACTTGCTGATATTTTAAATAAAAACTAATTATTTAATTTACTTAAACCTTATCTATGTTTTGTTTTCGCTCTATTTCCTAAATAAGTTTTTTTTTCACTCAGAAACTTGTTTAAAAAAGTATTGGAAACAATTTCTGATGGATTTGAGAGAAAGGTTGAAAATTAGATGAATAAAATGGCTAATAAACCACATCAAGTGGACAAACTCTAGTTCCAAAAATACGGCACCTTCTGTAAATTGGATGCTCCAGGTTTTTGTCCCAGTAACAAGGAAAAGAGGGAACACTTGGACACTTTTAGCTTAGTGGGGTGTAGAGAATTATAAACTGTAAACAGTTTTAACATTGATGTCTTAGGTCTTACATTTCAAACCACACAGTTGTAAATAGGAAACAAGGTTTTAGTTAAAACAACTTTTTAAGGGAAAATGTAGAACTATGCATTTCCCTGACACCACCAAACTTCTTTTACCAAGTGTCATCATGTCCCTGGGTCATCATGGCTGCCTGATCCTTCCTTCAGATTCTTCTTCTTCACCACTTTGTTCTCCACCTCCCTCCCACTGTTTCTTCTTTCAGCCGAAACCAGAGAACGCCGTGACGATCGCCGTGTCTTCTCGCGTCCTGTTTCGGACCGAGCGGGAGCAGAAGGTGTTCGAGCAGAAAGGAGTGGAGGAGTACCTCAGATACCAAATCGAGCACGAGAACGAACCGTTTTCACCTGGACCCGCTTTCCCCTTTGTGAAGGTTAAACTGACACAAGCACACATTTTTTTTTATTCTTGCTTGATGGTGTATGCGTTGAGCTTCCTCTCAGCTGGCTGTCTCCGCACCCTCGCAGGCTTTGGAGGCAGTCAACACTCGCCTGCGGGAGCTGTACCCACAAAGCGAAGAACTGTTTGACATCGTTTTGGTTACGTACAACCACGCACATGTTGGGATCCGGCTCATCAACACTATCAATCATCACAGTAAGTCTCCCAAAAATCTCTTCATGTGAAAACTCTTTTGGGACTTTTTGATGTAGAACAGCAGACAGGATTGTGATAACTTCAGATTAAGGTGAAAGGACGCTGATGATTAAATGATCATTTCAAGCGTTCACCTTCTCCAAACTTAATACAGAGGGTAAAATAAGTATTGAACACGTCATCATTTTTCTCAGTAAATATATTACTAGAGGTGCTAATGACATGAAATTTTCACCAGTTGTCGGTAACAACCCAAGTGATCCATACATACAAAGAAATCAAACCATAAATGTCCAGAAGTGAAGTTATTTGTAATAATGTGGAATGTCACAGGGAAAAAGTATTGAACACATGAAGAAAGGGAGGTGTAAAAAGGCATGGAAAGCCAAGACACCAGCTGAACTCTCTCAGTAATTAGAAAGCAAGCCTGCCCCTTGTCAGTGCAAGTTAATATCAGCTGGTTCAGTCCCAAATGATGGCCAGGTATCACACAAGAACCATCTGATGATGGGTAAAAGTAAAGAGCTCTCTCAAGACCTTCACAACCTTATTGTTGCAAAGCATAATGATGGCATCGGTTACAGAAGAATGTCTAAACTTCTGAAGGTTCCAGTGAGCACTGTTGGGGCCATAATTCAGAAGTGGAAAGAACATTATTTCACCATAAACCGACCACGACCAGGTGCTCCTCACAAGATTTCTGACAGAGGAGTGAAAAGAATGATCAGAAGAGTTGTCCAAGAGCCAAGGACCACTTGTGGAGAGCTTCAGAAAGACCTGGAATTAGCAGGTACGTTTGTTTCAAAGAAAACAATAAGTAATGCACTGAACCACCATGGCCTGTATGCACGCTCACCATGCAAGACTCCACTGCTGAAGAAACAGCATGTTGAAGCTCCTTTGAAGTTTGCTGCACAACATTTAGACAAGCCTGTGAAATACTGGGAGAATATAGTCTGGTCAGATGAGACCAACATTGAACTGTTTGGATGCCAGAATACACATCATGTTTGGAGGTCAAATGGCACTGCACATCAGCCCAAAACACCAAACCAACAGTGAAGTTTGGAGGTGGGAACATCATGGTGTGGGGCTGTTTTTCAGCATATGGTACTGGCAAACTTCAAATAATTGAAGGAAGGATGAGTGGAAAAATGTACAGAGACATTCTTGATAAAAATCTGCTTCCATCTACCAGGATGATGAAGATGAAATGTGGCTGGACATTTCAGCAAGACAATGAGCCCAAACACAAAGCCAAGGAAACTCTCAGTTGGTTTCAGAGAAAGAAACTAAAGCTGCTGGAATGGCCCAGCCAATCACCTGACCTGAATCCAACAGAAAATCTATGGAAAGAACTAAAGATCAGAGTTCATAGAAGAGGTCCACGAAACCTTCAAGATTTGAAGACTGTTTGTGTGGAAGAATGGGCCAAAATCACACCTGAGCAATGCATGCCACTAGTTTCTCCATACAGGAGGCGTCTTGAAGCTGTCATTGACAACAAAGGCTTTTGTACAAAGTATTAGATAAATTTCAGTAAGTGTGTTCAATACTTTTTCCCTGTGCCATTCCACATTATTACAAATAACTTCATTTCTGGACATTTATGGTTTGATTTCTTTGTATGTATGGATCACTTGGGTTGTTACCAACATCTGGTGAAAATTTCATGTCATTTAGCACCTCTGTAATATATTTACTGAGAAAAATGTTGACGTGTTCAATACTGTGACTCTAACATTATCAAGGGATCTAAACTTGTCTGGATGCCTTGGTATTGAAATTCAAAGGACCGTTTTCACACAGAAGCTACAGACAGCGTCACATATTCAAACACATTAGACGACAGGAAAATGGATCACTTTGGTAGAATGGCAAGAAACCAAACACAGGTTAGCAAAGCAAGATTCTGTGAATGAGGAACAACAAACACAAAGTGCTACAGAGGCAGGAAGTCCAACAACATAAGCGCTCAAAAACACAAAGCTGACAGTAAAAAAGGATGAAACTTGGCATGGGGGAACACACAGGATCTGACAACATGGACAAAAAATAAACTGCTGAGAGTGAATCAATTTTTTTTAATCAGTGCTGAAATCCTCGTTGGTGTTCTCTTGCACATTTCCATTTTTGACAAACTTTTTGTTGGGTTTTCATCTTTTTGTCTGTTATATAAATTAATTTATGAAGGCCAAACTGATTGGATCCAATTTAGCTGAACATATTCTGGACAAACAAGGTCTATGATTAGAAACAGTGTCTCTATTGCTCTGTGGGAAGTTGGTTTAATAGGTAATGCTAAATAAAATCATAAAGGAAACCAACAAATAAAGAAATCTTCCTTTATTTATCTAATCAAGTGGCCTAAAAATGCAATAAATTTGGTTTATATTTTATTTTTTGGGGGACGTAAGCGCACAAAACATCTCATTTGGCACCCATAAGTATACAAAATGCACATTCAGTTTATTTTCTTGTGGACACCAACATCTTTACACATTAAGTTTTGAGCATTTAACTTCAATTTCAGTTCAGTTTATTTATATAGAACCAAATCACAACATGAAACTTGGCAGGAATGTGGATGAGTCCGACCTACACTGCTCCAGCTAATGGTTTTACGATAGACCCCATATTTGAAGAGGGGCCTCTATCTGAAAAGGGGGTGTCTGGACATACAAAAATACTTATAACTCAAAAACTATTCAACATTGATCAACATCGGGAAAACAAAGCAACCACTGTTCAAAAGAATGTCCCAACACAGACGAGCTACATCTAATGGCCAGAACTCTGCAGTTTTCACTCATTTACAGGCCAGCGGTCACTCTTTCAGAGATGAGGATGTTCTCATTCTTGATAGAGAGGAACGTTGGTTTGAGAGAGGAGTAAAAGAAGCCATTTTTGTAAAGAAAGACCGTCCGTCATTAAACAGAGGTGGGGGCCTCCGTTTTCAGCTGTCCCCCTGCTACAGCGCTGCCATTGGCAGTATCACTCCACCCCCTGTTAACAAAAGGTATTAATTAGGGTGAACAATAGCCATGTGATGTGAGTATCAGTCACCTGGAGGCAGGACTCAAAAGCCTGAATTTAGCCTGAAACTCTCAGACTGAAGAAGTCTCTTGGAAGAGAGACGAAACGTTTCATTARAGAAGAACCCGTCCAGAGGACCTATACAATTTTTTTTTCCTTTTATTCAACATTGAAGCTTTAGATTTTTTGATGTTTAGCTCTGATGAAGGGCTATCCATCAGGCCCACCAATGAGCCCCGCCCCAACTCCCCACGGGCCCACAACCAAAGCTATAAATCTGTTCCGGTGAGTTCTGAGTTTGGGTACATTGGTGCTTTGCATACATGTGCAGGGGTCATATCTGCTATGTGGTATCTAGTTTAGAAGCTTTAATTTTGTCATATGAGCTGTGAAACCAAATTAAGGTCTCCAGGCTGCCTTTCCAATCAGTGCATGGTTCGTTCTTTGTTTTTTTTTTTTTGTTTCAAAATAAAATTGCAAAAACAAAAGAAGCATGTTGTTTTTTGTTTTTCGGTTTTTAAGACCTAAATGAAAAAAATGCAAAATCGAATTATTAGAAAATCAACAGCGTTTCATTTTTGCTTTAGCCATCTAAATAAAAATAAAATACTGTTCTTTTAATATGTAGCAATACTGGAAATGAAGTCACCAAAGAAGGATGGTTTACAGTGGATAAAAGATCGCATAAAAACAAACCAGTCTTAAAAAATAGGCAGTGGCTGCACTTGGACCATTTTCTGCATTTATTATCGAACTTAAGTACAAGAGTTTATGGACATTTTACTGTGAAAAATGAGCGACACTTGTAAATACTAGCTAGCTGACGTTAGCTTTCTGTAGGTATTGTGTAAACATGGTGTATTACAGTAATGGACCAGCAGGTGTCCTCTTGCAGGCCAAAACAATAAAATGATGAGAAAATGGGAGGCATAATTATAAACAATGTACATTTATGTCATACCTATTACCTTCACGTACCTGTAATACATACAGAATAAAGTCATAGTTTAATTGTAGATGTTGGGATAAACAGCAATTCTATGTAAAAGCTTGTCTTTGGTTTAACCATTGCAGTAAATAAAAAATATACCCCTTTTTTATTTTTGCAATTGCCGTTTTTCTAATTTTGTTTTAAAAACAGAAAAAACAAAAACAAAAAAATCACGTGCTTGTTTTGTTTTCGCAATTTTATTTTGAAACAAAAAAACCAAAGAACGAATCATCCACGGATTCTTTCCACTCCAGCCTCAAACAAAAATCTGCTTTACTGACTTATTTGTTGCCACTTTTGTTTCTTTAATTCGGAAAAACAGTAAAGTTGTATTTGAACATTCTTGCCACCACACTTTGTGCAGCTTTTTAACACAAGAACATGAAAAGAAAATGAAGGGTTTTGTACGGAAGCTGACGTAAACCCAGCCAAGAGACAAACAACGGTGTGTATGAACAGCTGACCGACTGGATACTTCCCAGGGAAAATCTCAGACCTTGTGGTGACATCCTCCTCACAGACCACTTCCTGTTCATCTCCTCAAATGTTTTCAGATCCCTGGACCTTCAGGCCCAGCTGACTCTGGGATTACCTCCCGCGGGATGGAAGAATAATCCGAGAGGCCTGGAAGAAAAACAGGTCTATCAGAGGCATCAAAGCCACGCACGGCCTCACAGATGCTTTTCTGTTAGATCTCTTTGTGAGGGGCTCAGTGAATTCAGAGACTCTCCTGACCTCCTCCTAGGAAAATAAAGGGGAAAAGGCTTCTCTAAATACAGTGAAAAGTGCTTGTTGATCATAATTCATGCATTTCTTGGCTTTCATTGGTGCACAAAAAAAAAAACAACAACAGATTGAATCATAAACATTTATTTGATCTCTTGATTACAAACAATACAAAAAATTTGCATGATTTTTCTTAATCTGCTAGCATTCATTGTTTTATTAGAAGCCTATTTTAGATTTTTAGGAC